GCAATAATAAAAAACAAACAGTGAGTGAACCAAATAAAATAATAAAACACAACTTGCATTCAACAGTCAACACTCGGGCGGGTAAATTGGGAACCTATCCCCAGGCCTGCTGGGAGAGCCAGGTCTTAAGGGCCGTGCGGAAGGTCTGGATGGTGGTGAGGGTACGAATCTCGACGGGGAGATCGTTCCACAGGGTCGGAGCTGCAACAGAAAAGGCTCTCCTCCGTGTAGTCGCCAGTCGACATTGACTGGCAGATGGGATCCGGAGGAGGCCCAGTCTGTGCGATCTAATCGGTCGAAGGGAGGTAATTGGCAGAAGGCGGTCTCTCAATTTGTTAAGTATTGAGTGCCTCAGGCATGGGAAAAGCCCTTTACGGGTCTGATGCAGGCCTAGGTCTAACTGTCCTGGCCTACCTCCACAACCCCCTGAGGTTCACCGTGCTTTGCATCCCCATTGGTTCCCTGTAGGCCTTTCACCTCCCACATTGGTCCTGAAAACCTTTTCTTCTCTATTGGATCCTCCCAGGCCATTTTGCTCTTTCACTAGGTCCCTGTAGACCATAGTCCTTTCCACCCCACCAGGTCCCATATCTTTCTCCTCATTTACCTTTTCAAGATCTCCAGATCTCATACTGGGGAAAGAGAACAACAATGCATCACTGTCTTCTGGAAATGACCATCATCGTTAGCACATCTGAAACTGCTTGCAAGTGGTCCACTGCATGGCCCAGGAATAAACTCTACTGTTTTGCTGCCTTAACAAGGTCTGCACAATACTTTGCAAACTGGTAGCAAAATGGAACACTTCATCTGTGGGCTGCATGGTGGCCTTGCAGAAGCCATTATGTGGGTGAACCAAACTGTCAGCAACTTTCAGGAGGCAGCTATATAAACCATGGATATGTTGTCTGACTTTGAGTCTGGAGGTCTTAAAAATGTAAGTGTGAAGTGTGTATACCGAATAAGCCAGGGGTGGGTTGCTACCAGTTTTACTACCGGTTCTCAACCTGTGCGCAATGCGCGTGCGCTGTTAAGTGGAAATTATTCTGCAGACATGTGCAAAACAATTTACAGTGTACAGCACATGCTCAGTCACTAAAATCCAACATGGCGGTGACATTAGTGGCAGTGAGGGAACTAGTTCAAGAGCATGTCAGGCCTGAGTCGCTGCTGATTCTGTGACTCAGGCCTGAATTCCAGTACCGGTTCAGCCGAACCGGGCCAAATTGGCAGCAATCCACCTCTGGAATAAGCCCAAGGCCAGAAGGGTCGGAGTAGGGCAGGATGAGTTTTTTTTTGATTTTTTTGATTTTTATTGACATTTGTAGGCCGCCCTTTTCCCTGAGGGGACTCAGGGCGGATCACATAAAATCGGGGAAGGGGAAATACAGACAATAACAAAGACACATATAATAAAAACAGTAACCAACATGCATTCATCATTCGGGAGGGGCAACTATCTTCATCCCCAGGCCTGACGGGCTAGCCAGTTCTTCAAGGCTGTGCGGAAGGCCTGGACGGTGGTGAGGGCACGAATCTCCACGGGGAGTTCGTTCCAAAGGGTCGGGGCGACTACTGAGAAGGCCCTCCTCCTTGTAGTTGCCAGCCGACACTGGCTGGCCGATGGAATACGGAGGAGGCCCAATCTGTGTGATCTTATTGGTCGCAGGGAGGTAATTGGCAGAAGGCGGTCTCTCAAGTATCCAGATCCACTACCATGTAGGGCTTTATGGGTGATTAACAGCACCTTGAAGCGCATCCGGAAATCGACAGGTAGCCAGTGCAGCTCGCGGAGGATAGGTGTAATGTGGGTGAACCGCGGTGCACCCACAATCGCTCGCGCGGCTGCGTTCTGTACCAGCTGAAGACGCCGGATGCTCTTCAAGGGCAGCCCCATGTAGAGCACATTGCAGTATTCCAGCCTAGAGGTCACGAATCAAACAATCATTTTAATTTAGAATTTATCACTTAAGCCAAATAACTCTGAATGTGACCTGTAGAAAGTCAATGGTGCATACAGTATAGTTTTCAGAATCACTAGGATGAGGCGAGAGAGGTAGGGGTGTTGCAACATCCCTGCAGTCAGTTGTAAGAGTGAATGGCCATCAGGAGTACTGTAGATGAAACTTCAAAACAGGATTATAAAATAGTTTTAGGGGGTTCTATTATAAGTTTGAATGTCTTTTAAGAGACCAATCGTATATTGAGAACTATCGGTAATTCTAGCTACTCCAATCTGTGAATTATTCTGATGATATATACATATTCAGAACAAAGATATATTGTTATAGTATCTTGAGAAACAATTCTCATGGAAATATTCTGTATATGGATATAAAGATGCCTGTTTGAAAATAAAAATCACATTACTTAAACTTTATTATTCTAATGTTTTATAGATTGAGATTATATTAATTAGTGATTCTGAAAACTATACTGTATGCACCATTGACTTTCTACAGGTCACATTCAGAGTTATTTGGCTTAAGTGATAAATTCTAAATTAAAATGATTGTTTGATTCAGTAGCAGTTTGATCTTTCTTTGCCTTTCCCTCAACTCCTTTTGTATTGGTATGTAGAAATAAAAAATAAAATTAACATAAGACAATTTAGTGCTGATTGCTAAAAGTATTTTGAAATACTGCAATTTAGTTTTATCTCATCTTGAGGATGTACAAAATTAATGTGGCATAACTTTTGGACCAGTCTACTTCATTAGTGCATGGAGTATGTTTCTGGAAAAGGAGTAATATATATTTAGATCTGTTTGCTGGGATCAGACGTAATATTAAACAGTGGAAAATAAAATGTAAGAGGTGCACACAATGGTTATCATATATTTATATTTTCCAGTAAAGTAGTTACTGTAAGTTCTCTGCAACAAAAATATATATGATAACTTAAAAACCTAGCGATTGTGAGGCCTAATATACAAGAGTTTATCTATATATAAAAGTCTTGTGTCTGATTGTTTGTAGCCTTTGTGCTGGGGTGAGGGTGGTGGGGGGTGTTGTGCATGCCTGCAGGGGCACAGGAGCCATACGTGCATTGCATTATGGCTGTGTGTGCACGTACACGCACTTTCGGCACTCAGCCACAAAAAGGTTAGCCATCACTGTTATAGATTGTACAAAATTTGGAAATCATGACTTCTGTGGAAATGAAATTTGGCAAATTTATAACCACTTCCATACTGCTTCACCTTCCAGCTTTACTTCTCAGAAACTTACAGGTTGCATGGTACCAGAAAAAAATGTAAAAAGCATTTCCTTATCCTCTTTTCCACTTCCTTCTGACCTTGTGCTCAATTAACTGATAGTAAAATCTGTGAATGGCAATCAGTTCGCCCTCCTTACCTATATTTGAGCTCCACGCACGCGCACTGAGTATACGGCACCTGCGCGATGCTCCCCCGAGCAGCTGGAGCATTGCGGAGCCTCACAGGAGTTAAGGACGCATGCCCGTACCAGTTGCAACGGGATTCAGAACCCACCACTGCTTGGATGCCTGCTAGTAAGATAAGGCAGGCTGGGCACCATCCGCCAGTCATTGAAGGAGGTCTCGCCAATCATGGAGGGAGGATACTGGCACACTGGAATGAGGTGCAGTTTTCCTTGTGGTCTGTGCTCTCCTTTGTTACTCCTTCCCATAGCAAGATGGCAGGAAGTTCTGCAGGTCAGCCTAAGAAAAGAAATGATTTCTGATGCCCCATGCAGGAACTTGGAAGTTGCTCTCACTTCCATTACCATCTATGATCATTCTTTTTCTATGTTTAGGTAAGCAAATAACTCTGAAAGGATGTCACAGTGAATCCTGGGTTGTCTAGTGTTAAAATAAAACTGTTAGCTTAAGTTTTGTGGCATTCAAGCTCTGTTGAAAATGGATGTTCCTAAAAATATATTTGGACATGGCATATACATTCTTGCATTGCTTAGCTGGCTAACATATGTAGTGTGATAAGAAAAGAAGTATGGTTATGTAATTCCTCTGAAATTATATTACACTATGAATCTCTATAACCAAGAACAGGAAGAGAAACTGATTTATTCTGTCAAGATTTTTCTACTAAAAGAAGTGTCAAAAGTTTGAGAAGTTGATAGAAGCCATAAAGAAATTGGATTTATTGAATTTATTCTGATATAATAAGACCTGCTATTTGCAACTAAAATAGCATGCATCATTTCAGATTGAAATCACCTGGGATAGATGTTGATTTAGTAATTGCAAAGAAATAGTTCAAATATGTGAATCTACTCTAGTGTTTTTCACAATAAATTTATACAGTTGTACAGGAGATTTATTTACAGTGCAGCAGTTCCATGTTTTTAAGGAAAACTTCAGCCTGATAAATAATAATCTATAAATTTAAAATAATTTTTAGATAATTCTAGCTTTTTAAATTACTTTTGTTTTGTGCTATGTCTTACATTGTTCACTATTAGCAAGAGAGTTATGTTTGTTCAATTTGTTTTATTTGTAATGCATTGACTAGAAGGTTCAGCACAGATAGTACATGTGAAGTTGTATTATATTGTATTGTATTATATGTGCTAGTCTTTCCCGACTCTAGAGGGTGGTGCTCATCTCCGTTTCAAAGCTGAAGAGCCAGCACTGTCCGAAGAGGTCTCTGTGGTCATGTGACCAGCATGACCAAATGCCAAAGGCGCCTGGAACGTTGTTACCTTCCCACCAAAGTGATCCCTGTTTTTTTACTTTCATTTTTTACGTGCTTTCGAATTGCTAGATTGACAGAAACTGGGACAAGTAATGGGAACTCACTCCATTACGCGATGCTAGGGATTCGAACTGCCGACCTTTCAACAAGCTCAGTATCTTAGCCACTGAGCCACTGTGTCTCTTTAACTTCCATAAGCACAACTCTTTAGTGAACAAGAAAGCAATAAAATTAATAAATGTGTGGCAAATCAGTCTTTAAGATGTTGATGTCAAATGATTTCAGAATGCCAATTTATATTTTATTTGTCAATAAAAATTGTAGATGTGAATTGCGTGGGATTCTGGAGTATAACTGCAGTGCAAGTGAAAGGGTTAAAAGCATCTCATCCTCCTTGCTGATACTGAATCTCAATCAGGTATTAATATCTGCTTACTTAGGAATAAAAAGAGATACTTTTCATCAGTATAAATTCATAAGATGTTTTTATATTTAGAATTAGATTAAGTGTCAATGGACGGATTTGTGTTGATATAGAATTTAGATTGATATTTAAAATATAATTTAGATTGATGTTAAAATGCCATTTAATGAACACTGGCAAAATATATTTTAAGGGAAGACTTATTAGCCTCCCATTTTGTCTTGATTATAAATATGCATCAAATCACTGAACCTTTCTCAGACTTTTAGGCAGCTGGAGTCTGGATCTTACCAAAAGTACTTGATTAATGTCTGAGTTGGGCAACTTGACTTTAATCAAAATGAACAGAGGTTACCCAAAAGAAGCATTTTGCTTTTAATGATTCACACTTTAAAAATCCCCTTGGAGAGGTTAGGCATTATTTTGTTAACTAGAAATAGTTCTAGTGAAAAGAGTAGGGTCTTCTCTTCTTCTTATGTTCAATCAGCAAGGTAGCATTTTGGCCCATATTCTATAATCTTATTTTAGTACTATTCTTTACTGATATTTGTTTTTAGAATAGATGCACTTATCACACTCATTTTTTTTCCAAATCAAGTTTTTTTCTAACTTTGTAAAAAGTAGGGGTAGTAGTTAAAGTAGGTAAGTCATTACAAATTGAAAATAATATATCCCTATGGCATAATGATATTTTTGCAAAGCTGTCCAGTCAGTAACTATTTGCCTTGTGACATGGATTCTACAAGCCTTGTTGTGTATTTTCTCTTTGTAACATTATGTTTTGCATACAATAGATCAGTGGTCCCCAACCCCCGGTCCGCGGACCGGTGCCGGGCCGTGGAGTACCTGGCACCGGGCCGCGCAGCGGCCGGGGGCCATGATAGCTGATCTCCCCCCCCCTCCCGCCCTCTTGCTCTGCTCGCCCCGGGAGGGAGGGGGCGGCGGTGGCGGCCTCGGCCCGAACTTGGGATGCTGCTGGCGGAGGCTGCCTGGGAGGCGAAACTTTGTCCGCGGACTCGCCCGGCCCGCCTGCCCCATGGAATGACGGGGGGGGGGCAGGAGGGGGCGGCGGCGCTGCATTTTCCTCCCAAGGAGAAACTAAGGTTGCGGGGGGGAGGGGCGCAGCGCAGCCGTTTCGGGGGAACTTGGGGAGCTTCGCCGTTCCGAGAGGCCGAGGGAGGCTCCGCTGCGGGAGGGAGTGGAGGGCGCCCACCCGCCGCCGGCGGCTCCCTTCGCCCAGCCTGGCACCACAGTAGCTCTCCAGGGCTGTCATTTTGTCGCCGAAGCGAAGGCGCGCACTTGGCCTGGCGGCCGCTCGGGCTAAAACGACGCGGAGCCTCGTGCTTCCCATGGAGGGGAGGGGGCAGGCGGCCGACCTCCCGTGTCGCCAGGCGGTTCGCTGACCCTTCCGAGAGGCGAAGGCTTCGGTCCGCCCAGCCCCGAATGCCAAGCCGACTGCGGCTCCTTCGACCCGCCTGGTGAAGCGCCCGTTGCCGCCCCCCGACCGAGTCTGCTTCTTCCCGTTTTATAGCTGTGTATTCTACTCCTTGTGAAGAGTCAAATATGGTGTCAAGAAGATGCGTATTCTGTAAACTCTGGGAATGCTCCATACTTCATGGAGGGATATGAGTTCCTTGAATGTGTTGCATGGAGTCTTGCGGATACAGGCTCAAAAGGAAATAGAGAAATTCGGCTATTTAGAACTTACTCAGAATGTTCACCTAAGAATAACGCAGGTTTATGCCAAATTTTCATGTACTACTCTTGAGAATGTTGTCAAATCAGATTTTACTTTTTAAAACATTAAAATAGCTTAAAAGAAGCAACCTAGTTAATATTCAATAAAATTTTACATTTTACAGCGCGCGCGAACAACGCCCCCCCACCCCTGTGCGCCCTCAGCGGGCCACGGTAAAATTATCAAAGGCTGACTGGTCCGCGGCGATAAAAAGGTTGGGGACCACTGCAATAGATGATTTGTTAATTTCCTGTAGAAGTAATGCACTTTTGGAAATTCTACTCTCTTATCTGTTGCATTTACACAAAAGGACAATGCTGAAAATCGGCTCTGAGATTATTTTTTTGCAAGTAACAAAGAAATGTTTATGCTATTATGAACTAAAAGGCAGTCAGAAAGGGCTTCTGTTTGATCAATAATGTATGCTCCAGTTAGTCCTATCCTCTGGACATCATTAAATAGTAGTTTGTTTCATAACTGATCATTTTGGCTGACTAGAATTTATAACAATCTCCTCAAGCTTTTTCATTGTCCAGCAGGCAAGAGTGAATCGAAATAATCAGTTGTGCTTAGTGATAATATGGAATATAAATAAATAAAGGTTTGAATTAGTTATTAACTGTTGGAAGACTGGGGTTGCAAAAGCTGATTTCTTGCTCTTGTTCGTACTGGAATGATAACCTTTGTTTTTACATATTTTGAACTTTTCATAACAAGCTTAAAACTTTTGTATAAGACATATTAAATTAAATTGTACATTTTAAAAAATAACAAGCCTTTTAGATTTAGTTAATAATTTTAATAGTTAAGCAAGATTAATTTTATGTACAAACAGGAAATCATCAAACTATGCAAAGATTCACATAATTAAAAATTATTGGCATTGAAAGATCTGTATTTTGTTTTTTGTTTATTTCAAGGTTCTAGTCAGCAAAATGGAGGGTAAAACTTTTTTTAAAGACTCAGAATTTGCTTACCTATTTATATCTGGTTACTTTCATCATGAGCAAAATGTTTTTCTTTTATATTGGTATCTTTGGAAATAACGGATTTTCAATCCCTTAGGCAATGTGATATATTTTCTTATATGATTATCCCATTTTTATAAGTAGTACAAGATTATGCTATCTGGGCGAGATCATTCGGAGGCACGGGATAAAATACCACCAATATGCGGACGATACGCAACTGTATCTGTCC